AAGAGTTTCACTGATGCTTGTTGTGGAAATCTGGATGAATTAAAATACAGAAATCAAGGTGCAACAGCATATGTCTTTTGTATGTTATTAAATATAATATAGGAGATTAAAGTAGATTAAAGAGTAGAGTAGAGATTAAAGAGAAATGTAGAGGATATATTTAAGCAATGTCTTTTCTCACCTTATCTACTGTCCTGCTGCTGCTTGTCACGACTGTGTTTTCCAGCATCATGCCACGTGCATCACTTGTGCTCCATGCAGCGAGCCACAAAAGCAGAAGTTCAGTTGCAGGTTATCATGTTACGCAATCTTTACATTTCCCTTTTCTCGCCTTATCTACTGTCCTGCTGTTGTTTATCATGACTGTGGTTTCCAGCGTCATGCCACATGCAGAAACTCAGCTTTAAAGGTGGTACAATATGTCCTGAAGTTTCCGCTTGAGAATTTCAGCTCTGTTCCTAAACCAGCTGGGATGAGCAGAATGCAATGACCTGCATGTACAGCCTCCATCTTAGCTGAAAAAAAGTCTAAATGTTACATTTGATTGTTTGAGAAGTGCAACAACATTTTTCAGTAAAGTAACAGTAGCAAGAAACAACTGGAGAAGTTGCTTAACACTGTAGTAATGTGACAAGTAATCAGGCTAACCGGCAGTTAACCTGATTAAAAGACGGAGAAGAGTCACGGCTCTGTGACGAAACCTTCAGAATAATGTTTCCAAACTTCACCATCTGCGGTTCATAACATCATTAAAGGCTCAGAGTATTCAGACACTTTTCTAGTGACTGTCTGCACTTGAAGTAAAATAAAAATCTGTTAAATGACAGTTATAAAAATATTTATCTTTTTTAGTTATAAAAATACTTTTTTTTTTTTGAAATAACACTAAATATCTGCAAAATTATAATATTTTTTAGCTAATTTGAATACAGTTAGTGTAAGTTTATAGGTAAATGTTGTCAAATTGCAGTTAGCACAAATACAGATGTTTGTTGTGGACATAAATTATAGTTTTCTTTTTACAGTCACCATGTAAATCAAACGTAAAACAAAAGTCATTTTGGACATTACTGTAAGTCATTCTAAACATTAAATTCATAGTTTCATTATGTGATTAGTCTAGATATCTGTAACTTAACAAAACTGTGAAAATCTATAAAACAACAGTAAATTGTTAAAACAAAAAACAAAAACATGATTTCTTACGGTGCAGATGCTGCACTGTTGAACACAATGATTTAGTTCAGCTGATGGTCATGGAGTTTGTCCTCTTGTGGTTTTGGATATTTTCTGTCGACCAAAGGAGGCCTGTTGGTTCTCTGCAGAACTCCTCTCAGAGAACCATCAAACAGGGATTCCTATAGACGCTGTGAATGGTGCTGCACAGAATGTTAGCAAAAAATAGATTCTAAAAGGAACTATTTTCAAAGTTGGTCTTTTAAAATTAATTTCAAGTCATTTTGGAGAGAGTCAGTAATTTGGTACAAGTTTTTGTCCCTTCAGGCAAACTGAGCCATTTTCAGCAAAGTTCAAGACATTTTGGAAAATTCAGTCAAAATGTGGCCAATTTTTGACAATTTGACAGTTTCTTGTTCCTTATTATTATTATTATTATTATTATTATTACTCGTATTTGAGTATTTTGTTTGGCATGTTGATGTAATCTGTGATGTCCATGTCATTTCTTTTTCCTGTGTTTTTTGTCACTGGACTTGCACAGAATACTATGGGGTTGTGATCTGATATTTTGGTCTTTCTTACACTGAGATTGGAGACGTCGACGTTTCTGCTGATGACCAGATCCAGAGTGTTACCTGACCTGGGGTACGTTGGTTCATTTACATGCTGATGAAGGTTATTTTTCTCTAAGAATTTTTTAAACTTCTTTGGATTGTTGTTTACATGGATGTTGAAATCTCCGGTTATGAGAGTGCTGTCGTCTTTGGGAACCTCGTCCAGGAGCGTCTGAAACTCCTCCAGGAATTCGTCTACTTTGCATTTGCCTCTGGGTTTGTTTCTTTGGTTCGGTGGGCGGTACACATTGATGACTCGTATGGGTTGGTTCCAGTCATCATGTTTCAGATTTGTGGCCACGTACTCAAAGGTGTTGAAGGGCTCAAGGGAGTTTGAGGATGTTTTCTTTTCAAATTTAACCCGTGTTTCCTGCAGGTTCCCTGAATACGCGACAGCGACTCCCCCTCCTTTTTGTGATGTCTCCCTGACGTTATTCCTCATCTCGTGGCAGAACTTGAAGTTGTCTGGGAGAGCTTCCTTTAAGAGTTGGTCTCCGGTGTCCGGACGTAACCATGTCTCTGTTAGGCACAAAATCTTCAGCTTGTACTCATGTATAAACGCAGAGATTTCGGATATTTTGTTCTTAATGGAGTGAGCATTGAGCAGCCCCATCGCTCCCACCGCTGATGAAAGTTTTGAGACGATATTCTGATTGTTGCTTTCAGTGTCTTCGTTGCCTTCAGATATACTTTTCCTCCCTCTATGTGTACTTTTCCTTCTTTTATACCAACTGTCGCTGCTTTCATATGAACTGTCACTGTTGTTCTCGTAATCTGGATCCTTGTCATCATTGTCACTGTCGCTCTTCTGACTGCCTGCATCACCTCCTCCCAGTTGTTCGCCTCCAGTCTCTTCATTAAAAAATGGACACATTTTTGAATAATTTTAAATACATTGTTTTCATGTGGGACAATTTTTAATTCATTTTAGATAAATCTGTGAGCCATTTAAACAAGTTTCAAGTTGCATTGGAAGGTTTTCAGTCAAATTTTGGTCAAATAAAAAAAAGAAACTTTTTATTTTCAAGAACTGACAAACTTAAGTTATTTTAAATATTTGTCAATTTAGACAAATATGTGAGCCACTTTCAACACGTTTCAAGCCATCTTGGAAAGTTTCAAGTCAAAGTTTGGGTAATTTTGGACAAATATTTGTCATTTTGGGGTATTTTGAGTCAATTTGGACTATTTTTCCAAGAATGGACTAATTCTGAGTTTCTGGTAGTTATTTGCTATTTATGGCTATTTTTAGTCATTTTAGACAAACTAAGCAGTTTTCAGCAAATATCATTTTGGAAAATTCTAAGTCAATTCAGTCCATTTGGGACATAATATTTGTATTTTGGAAATGTTTTGATGAATCTATATACAGTTTTCAAATGTGAGTGTGCTTGGTTGTCTGTCTCTAAGTGTAGCCCTGTGATAGACTGGTGACCTGTCCAGGATGTCCCCTGCCTTCACCCTGAGTCAGCTGGGATAGACTCCAGCCCCCTAGTGAGGATTAAGCGATGTATAGATAATGGATGGATATACAGTTTTCAGTCAATTAAGATGGGGGAAGTTTTGAATCATTTTATACAATTCTGAGTTGTTTCAGACAAACTGTGAGCCATTTTCTTTTTTTGATGTAGTTTGGAAAATTTTGGGTCAAAATTTGGTCAATTTTGGACAGTTTTTGATCATTGTGGACTCTTACCTCCTGGATCGCTTCCTCCTGTTTGTTCACCTCCAGTCTCTTCATTTCGGCCACATTGCTGGTTCGTCTGGCTGCTGCTCTGCTCACATCGAACAGTCTGATAAGTCTGATTTTCAGCACAAACAGTCTTTTTTCCATGTGAAATATAAGCTGAGTAGTTTGACTGCATAGTCATAATAAAAACAACTTCCTGGTTTCCAGTCTTCGTGTTCTTGTTCAATATCTTATGGTTACATGGTCTGTCGAACTTTGACTCGTTTTCCAATCTGCCAAGTTCTTGCTGTTGTCTGGCCGACTGGTCCAACATCCTCCTGAAAATAAAACCAGTGAAGTCAGCATGACTTAACTCTGAACCCTAAAACCACCAACGGCTATGAAAGGCAGCTTATCACAGCACGCTAAGCTTACTGTAACTCAAACAAGACACAACACAATACGAGAAAGGACACAAAGTGAGAAAAAAGACAGACCAATGGACAGAATTAGATTTTAGGTTTTAACAGTTACTGCATTTTTCCATATTGTTCCGGCTTGTCTAAAATCATAAAACCTGTTTTTGGCTTCATGAAAGTATTCTGTTTATCACAATGTGCAAAGTGAAAAGTCTGTAAACATATAAATAGTTAAATATCTATAGTATGTGGAGACAACATTATTCCAGCGTTGGTTACACCTGTGGACACTTGAAAACATGTTGATTCCAGGATTTTATCCATCCATCCATCATCTATACACCCTTTAATCCTCACTAGAGTCGTGGGGGGCTGGAGTCTATCCCAGCTGACTCAGGGTGAAGACAGGGGACACCCTGGACAGGTCACCAGTCTATCACAGGGCTACACTTAGAGACAGACAACCAAGCACACTCACATTCACACCTACAGACAATTTAGAATCACCAACCAGGATTTTATATTTTAGTAAAATAAATAATCATACTTGATGTCATCGAACTGTTGCCGCAGCGTACTGGTGATCCTTTGCATTGTGTCGGCTGTGTCTCTCAGTATTTGGCAGGCTTCGGTCACATGATTCTTCTTGATCATACCTGTCCAGGTGTCAGTTGCTTGTTGAAGTATACGCGCTGTTCCAGTCGCCCCGACCACCAGCTGATGAAGAACATCAGGTTAGCTTCCAGTGTCAGCAGCTGCCTCAAGCTAAACTCATAGAGTCAGTCTCAGATAGCCAGTTTGATCTCAAGTTACGTCATTTTCTTTTCCTCATTTTACACTTTTCATTCCTGTTTGCTCATTTTTCGCTGTATTTCAGGGAGTTTTTCAGTCAAACTTTGTGTTGTTTTGGACTATTTTTCTCATTTAAGACTCAGGTTCAATCTCATTTTTCCTCACTGTGGTTCATTTTCACTGCAACATAAGGTCCTATAGTATTTCAAAAATACAGAAAACATCAGTGAAATAAATAGACTGATTTGGACTGTTTTCAAAGGTGGTTGTTGATTAGTTGTGGGATGGTTTCTGAATGGTTTGGACTGGTTTGGGGCATGATTTAGGCTTGGTTTAAACATGTTTCAGACTCGGTTTTGGACTGGGTTCAATGTAGATTTTGAACAGAATATGTTCTGTTTAGGTTTGTAGGTCTCTGATGAGCCCTGGACTGATTTCATTTGTTTTCAGACTTGATCTTAGACTGGCTGTGGACTGGTTTTGGACACAGATCTGGATGGTTTTTATCTTGTTATGGGTTGCTGGTTATAGATGGGACTAAACTGCACTTAAAGTTATTGGATTTACAGTAAAAAAAAAAAAAAATTAAACTGGGATATTTATTAGATCCTAATGCAGGTTGTGGGGCTCACAGGATTAATGATGTATAAATGGTAAATTCTTACCTCGGCATTACATCCGCTTATGGACATTTGTTCGATGAGTTGCTGAAGTCCTTCATCAAATGATGGTTTAAATTTCTCTCCACTAACTTGAAGGGTGAAGAATGATAAAATCCCAGCGACTGCAGCCATCACTGCAGGGCTGTCGATGAGCGCCATGGATTTCATGAAGATTTGTGGCTGTCCGTGGCAGAAGCTGGTGCTGACTTGACCCTTCAGTCCACTTTGTCTGGCCAGTGCTGTCAGGACCTTGGTCATGACATATCGGTCGACCTGGTCGGGTTCTGAACAGGAACCAGTCGCCTCGGCTTTGGTCTTCAGCTTCTCAAACAGTGTCTGGATCTCTTCTGTAATGTCAGCGCTCCTCTTCTCTACATTCTGCTGCTCTTTTAAGAAGAGCTCAGTGGGTTTCAGCTTCTTTTTCTTTGTGCATACTTCTGCCGTCACATTTAACAGTGGAAAAGCTGCTCCGAGGGTCACCACAGTCAACGCAAAGAGCACGATCAGACTTCCACCTACCAGCGCCGTCTTCAGGACGCTAACAAACGCTCTTTGGATGTGTTTCTGTCTGAGGGCCTCCAGCTGCCTGGCTAGCTTCCTCAGCTGCTCGGCACAGAGCTGCTGCTGCTCCATCCAGCTGGAGATCAGCTGCAGCAGCCGCTCACCGCTGGACATGATGGAGGCCTCGATGTTCTTCAGATCCTCCAGCCAGAAAACTGTCAGAACAACAGCAAGCAGAGGAACCATCAGATCCACACTGTTCTCAAACATAGTGTCAGGTTTTAGACTGGAGATGAACTGGTTTGGGACTGAAATAAACTGGTTTGGGACTGCATTTAAACTGGATTTGGTCTTTTTTCAAAGTTGGTTTTTGATCACTTTTGGTCTATTTTTATAACTGGTTTCTACTTTTTTTTTTGGCTGGATTTGAACAGGATTTCAGCTGGTTCTGAGCTTCTTTCTGACTTGATTTTAGTCTTTGTATAGACCTGGATTCAGAAGATGATGCTTTGAAATATGATTTTCAGCCCTTCACACTTGTCAATTTTCAGTCAATGAGAAAGTGTGATATTTGGACCCACCTCTATGTACTTCAAAGGCCAGTAGCTCTAATAATATTCACAGTATGAAGGTAAAACTTTGCATAGCTTCATCAAATATACTAAAGTTACTGTCGGTAAAGAATCAGCTGATTCTGAGGAGGACTGATGGAGGCGCTGACTGATTTTTCATTAAATGATCTTTTTCCATAAAGATCTACAATCATTTAAAGCAGTTCTTTCTCACTGTGTGTTCCTGCAGTTCTGTTAAAAGAAAGTTTTTAATGATTTGCAGCCAAACATGCTTCCTGTTTTTACAGATTTAGATTAAAAATAAAAAACTCTGGAAGTCACGTCCAACTTCTCAGAAACCTTCAGCAATCACTGAGGAAATGAAACTGCTTCAGAGTTGAAATGCAAGTCACTCAGAAATGATCCTCAAACTACTGAGAGCTTCACCTTTAAATTCATAACAAATTTCCTTCAATAAGATCATCAGACATGCTCTCCAAGACTGATTTCCTTCTTGTCGCAGGACTAAATTTAACAAAAATGTCAACAAATGAATTCAAACGCAGAAAATAAAGCAGTTGAAGTTAATTGCAGATGTGAAAACCTGGAACACAGAGAAATCTGTTTTCTAGCAAATAGAAAAGAAATGTTGAGAGAAGAATAAATGAAAAGTTTGTGGTCAAACTTACTTTGGAATGAGTCTTGTTGACAAAAAGCTCGTCTGACAGTCTCCTTTCACTTTTGCTGACTTTATAATCAGGGGAGGAGATCAGCTGCTGCAAGTGAGAGAGAAAACACTGCTGTCTGAGCCTCCTGAACGTTTCTGAAACGCTCAGAAAACTCTCACATATTCACCAATGTAATCAGACTGATTTGTGCTTCGTCTGCCAGAACAGCTCTGCATGAACCACAAAGTAAATTACAAATATACACTTGGTGTTGGACTAATGGTAGTCTGGTGTCACGGTTTGTTTTTGATCAGTTTTGGGCTCATTTTTATAACTGGTTTCTACTTTTTCTCTTTTTTCTTGGCTGGATTTGAAAGTGCAACATCAGGAAATAAAGAAGGACACACACATCTTGATTTTCACCAACATTCTTTTGTTTTCTCTGTAATTTTTCATGAGATTTGTATAAAAACTTTAATCTCTCATATTTCTTTTCCACATATGCATTCATTGAAATTCTAACCCATGTATTCATACATTTTATCAGTATAAAGACACAAGAATCAACCCTGGCTACCTTAGTTTTTAAAGTGACATCATTTGAAGGTATCAGTCAGACAGGTGATTTTATTAGACACAAAAATAGATTCTCTGGAACAAAGCAGTCATAGCCTCAAAATCATTACACACTTAACGCATTCATCTTGTTTTGACTTCACATACTTCTAATGAAATTATTTTCAACCAACAAACTACACTGAGTTGAGAGGAATGAACTCCATAATCATTCACACCCAAAGGATCACTGACCGAACAGAGTTTTTAAACGTGTGCACAGTTTTTTGTACATCATGTATAACGGGCGCTCTGAAGAAGTCATTGCAGTGTTGTCAATGGTGCAGGCGTACTGCTTCTTCAGGGCGTCTTCGTCCAGCTTCTTTCCTTGCTGCTGTCTGCCCAGACAGGCAGTGAGGTGGAGGGTGGCCTGAAACCTGGAGAAGATGAGCACCAGCGACAGGGCCAAGGTGACCACAAAGGACGGGATTCTGTCTTTGTCCTCTCCTGGGATGATGAACGGGACGAGGATACGGTTTCTGCCTGGTGAGCCGTAGTCTTTTTTCAGCACCTCAAATCTTTCCCATGCACCGTCCTCTGGTGGGTTCAGAGGACTCAGCATGATGTTGGGAATCATTTGATCTCCAGCCTTCTTCATTGAGTTCCACTCATTTGGCAACTCTGTGGGCTGATGCTTTTCATCAGGGATCTTACAGTATGTTGACCTACAACAAAAAACTCTGTCCTCAGGCTTCATGATTCCTGTGGCGATGCGGTACGCTGCATCAACAGTCAGTACACAGTTCCAGGGAGAATACAGAACCACATCAGTGATGGAGTCCAGAGGCAGCAGGCAGCTGGCTGGAATCATCTGGTCTCTGATGGATCCATGAGCCACAAAGGTGATGTCCACGTTGTTGCTGTGGTTCTTCTTCTCCTCCTCATCAATTTGTTCTTGCAGGAAAAAAAACATGTCCACGAGTTTCAAGAAGGACTTCGAATTGTCCCTCAGCCACTGTCGACTAGTTTCTTCCCTGCAGTGTTTCATTGCAAACGTTATCAGTGAATTCCTTCCATCGGAGTTCCTCGCTGGGTTTTCAATGTTGTCCTTCAGTTCACTTAACTTCTGCAATAGTTGTCTGTGAGACAAATTGAGAAAAAGAGGATTCAATACTCAACCAGTGTTACAGCTGACAGCAAGTTCAGTCCACATAAAACCAACAGTATCTACAGGAACTTTATCATATTAAATGAAGCAAAGTTTTACCTTCATACTTTGAATATTTTTAGAGTTGCTGGCCTTTGAAGTACATAGAGGTGGGTCCAAATATCACACTTTTTAGTGACACATGGTGGAAAAACACATTTGAGTTCTGTTAAAAACTGCAACCACATCAGTTTTACATCCATCCTGGTTTTACGATCTAAACACTAAATCTGCTTTTTGTTCATTTTCTCTATAATCAACTTTGAGCAAATATATTATGGGATGTATCATCGTTTGAACACTAAGACTGCAGCAATGTTTATGACATGCCAGAAACACACAAGTGTTTTAACAAACATGTGAACTCTGATGTTGTTTCTACATTTTACAGACAGAAGACACATTTACCAGAGTTAAAATATGATTATATATAAAAATTGTTTTGTCACAGAAGGAATCCGGGCCTATAGCTCATAGTATGAAGGTAAAACTTTGCATGGCTTCATTAAATATATTAAAGTTACTGTAGATAAAGAATCAGATGATTCTGTGGAGGTCGGGGGAACTTTGTCCAGATTTGGTTGATTTTTACACAGAATGCCAACAACAAAGACTATTTAGTGTTCTGTCAGTGTTCCAGCAGATGAAACATCCATCTGTGGACTTAAATAAAGAGACAAAGATGGTCCAAGCTGCTGTTCAGGTTATATTATCTGTTATATTCATTTTCAGACACTCACATGATTTCAGCCAACTCTTTATTCATCTTCTCAGAGGAACTGTTTATGGCTGTTGCACATTTCCTCATATTTTTAATGTCTTCTGTCACATAGCTGTTTTTGCCCTCTGCCCCAGTCTGAAAGAGATCACTTGTCATTACAAGACTAGACAATCTGCATTCATTCAACTGTAACTGAACTGTCTTTGTAAATAAAACCTTGTCATGTACCGTCCAATATATATATATTTTTCTAGCACATAGCAAGTGTCAGTTTTCCTGATACATTCTGTAACAGATCAAAATTCATGGTCAGCAAATGTTTCCCAACCTCTTTACTTAGCTGCTGATTCAGTCCGTCTCAGTTCAGACAGAATCCAGAAAACATGGTGCTGCACCGACTCAGGTTTGTTCACAGTTTAGTTGTTTTTCTTATTTGGGACCCAAAGCTCAATTCTGGCTGAATTTTGAGAATTTCATATGTTTTAAGACCTGACATTTATCTTTTTTCACCCTCATAAATAAAAATAAAAACCCGTGAAGCCATTTTCAGGGTTCAATATATCCAGAAATAAAACTCCAACAGCCATGACATGTGATGAGCACGCAGACAGAATAGTTTCTATCAGATCAGAATGACTGAATGGACTGATGAAGAAAACAGCACATCCTGTTGCCACTTGTGATTCTGGTTATCAGCTAATGTCTGGAGACACCTGCTAGTGTCACCCCTTGACTCCATCACCGTCTGGTATCAATAACTTCCCTTGTTTTCTTACTGTTTGCTATTTCTTCAGCAGTGAAGACTTTATGACCTTCTCCACTGATAAAGTTTTGAATAGCAAACAAAAAATCATAACATGTCTTTAGGTGCAGCAGCTCTGGAAGACGAGATTTATGCTTAGACTGCTTCTCTGCTGTAAATCTCTCAGAGCTCACGTCGATAGTAAATTCTTCTAAACCAGCAACATGTCTGTTAATTTATTGTGTACATGCTCCCTTTAGGCAATATTATTCATAAGTACTGCATACATTTGCATTGTTATGAAGACGACACCCAGCTATATCTATGAAGCCACATGAAACCAATCAATTGGTCAAACTCCAGGCATGTCTGAAAGACATAAAGGCCTGGATGACCTGTAATTTCCTTCATTTAAATTCCGACATCGAAACAGATAGCTTCTCTAGATGGCATTGCCTTGGCCTCCAGTTCTACTGTAAAGAACCTTGGATATTATTTTGGACCAGGACATGTTCAATACACACATAAAGCAAGTCTGTAGGACGGCCTTCTTTCATCTACGTAATATTTCAAAAATCAGGAACATCCTGTCTCAGAGTGATGCTGAGAAAGTAGTCCATGCATTTATAACTTCTAGGCTGGACTCTTGTAATTCCTTATTATCAGGATGTCCCAATAATTCTCTCAAAAACCTTCAGCTGATCCAAAATGCTGCAGCGAGAGTTCTTACAGGAACCACTAAGAGAGATCATGTTTCTCCTGTATTAGCTTCTCTTCATTGGCTCCATGTAAAATCCAGGATAGAATTTAAAATCCTACTTTTAACATACAGTATAAATCAATTGAAAATTATGCACTTATTTTTAAGTCCAGTAATTAAAAGTGTGTCCTCTGCTGGATCCATTCAATCATTCTAATCTGTTGAAAAGTATTCTGTTCGTGTCCTCATCACATTTCCCACCTGTGTATTATTGGAGAAACTGAACCCTGAAAATTGTTTCAAAGGTTTTTAAGGGTGAAAATAAGAAAAATTCCAGATCTAAAAACACATCCATCCATCCATCCATCCATCCATCCATCCATCTATACACCACTTAATCCTCACTTGGGTCGCGGGGGGCTGGAGTCTATCCCAGCTGACTCAGGGTGAAGGCAGGGGACACCCTGGACAGGTCACCAGTCTATCACAGGGCTACACTTAGAGACAGACAACCAAGCACACTCACATTCACACCTACGGACAATTTAGAATCACCAATTAACCTCAACATGTTTTTGGACTGTGAGAGGAAGCCACAGAAACTGGAGAGAACCCACGCTGCACCGGGTGAACATGCAAACTCCACGCAGAAAGATCGCGGGTGTCCTCACCGGGATGAGAACCGGTGACCTTCTAGCTGCGAGGCAACGGTGCTAACCACCTCACCACCTTGCAGTCCCTCTGAAAACACAGAAATTTTTCAAAATTTTGCCAAAATGTGTTTTTAAAGAACTTATTTTTGGTTCCCAAATAACAATTCAGTGAACTCTGAGTCTGAGACAGTGGAGGAACATACTTCCTGCATTGTGTCTGATTTGACACCGACTGACCTTGTGTCTGTGATACCCACTGCTGCGGTTCCACCTAAAGCCGCCGCTACATCTACGGCCATGTTTGTAGCAAACTGTGAGAGCAGGTCCAGTACCCACTCCTTCAGAAAACATACAACAATGTCCTTTGAGTTTGCGTTTGTGCTCACCCTCAACATTATGCTGGACAGTTTGATGAGATTGTTGATTTGCAGGCCGTACCCTTTGGCCATCGCTCTTACGAGTTTCTCCAAAACATATTTGTCAGGAGA